GACTAAAACATCGCTGATTTTCTTCTAGGCTTTGTTTTCTGGTTTTAAGGACTTTTGTCCAGTCTTGAGCTGACAATAGGTTCATGTACCTAATATTTGGACAGAATCCCAACCTGTTTCCTGTTTTAAGCAAAGTTCCTTAGCATTTCTTTGATTTATTAAAATTAAAACTACTTTTCTTGAAATTAAAAAATATATTTAAAAATACCTATTTAATGACCATAGTAAGCTATATAGCACCAGCTAGGTGCTACCTTATAGTATATTCATTCTACTCAGAGTTTCATGCCTAAAGTCAGACATGTATTCACAGATATGTACATATTAGCTGAATTTGCTATTGAAAGTAGTTAGATTATTTAAGAAATTTTGTGAATCAATGAAATGTGGGGGAAAAAGGAATGGAAACAACTGTAGACACCTGAGATAGTGTGGGAGGAGGGTGGGAAATGGCAGAGGGTCAGAAATAGGGGGAAACTAGAAATGGAAAATTATTGATGATAACATGTATGATTAAGCCACTGTGCAGTATATTCTGGATGGGAAATCACATTTTGTATGCTGTAATGATGTTCAGGGAATGAATGTAAATTAATTAATTTTTAAAAATGTTTCAGAAGATAGTTACGGTGTACTTGTAACTGGATTCTAGCTTTGTTCATATTTTTAGTTTAAGGTATTTTGTGAGTCAATAAAATGTGGAAAAAATGGAAAAAAATTAAATTAAATGAAGAGAAATTATCTCATACAATTGGGCCTGATAAAAGGGTTAATCAAATTTTTTGTTAGATGGGGCATTTATCCCTAAATATCATCAGAATTTTTTTTAATTTGATGAAATAATTGAAAAATTATTTAGGAAAAAATAGTGGACGAAAACACTGAAAGTTTGGGGTGTGGGGAATGAAGGAAGAAAAACTAATTCTATCACATAACAGAACATAATATATTAAAAGTACCTTCAGAGAAATATATGACTTATCCTTCAATTCATTTTCTCTAACTCTGGAAATTAACCATGAACTGAAATTTCTTTGGCCCTGAAGATTCTCTCATCTTTCCCCAGCCCCTTCCAATATTCTCTTTACCCAGCAACAAGGAGCATCAGCTCTATTGTTTCTCTGACTGGTTAAGCCTAGCCATGCTGCCTCCTCTCTCCTCTTTCTGGCCATTTTCAGGTGAGAGAAGCCCACATTTCCAGAGCTCTTGCCTGCCCTCACTGTTACCCAGTTCCTCATCGCTGTTCCTGTGCTCACAGTCGGTTATAGACCCCAGAACACATGCCCTGAAGAGAATGTTCCAGACCAAAGCTGTCATGCTGAGTGCCCTCTCCTTGGCTTACTTGCTGAGTCTTCAGGGAGCTGGGGCCATCCAGGGTGAGTGCCCAGGAGGAGCCAGCGAGCTGGGGGGGTGAGAAGTGGGGGACAGGCTACCACGAATTATTGCTTTAGGGATTAGTGGTTTGGGGGACTCACTGGTCTATTTCCTCTTCTTTCTCTCTTCACTCCTGTGTGTGAGTCTTATTTGTTTCCTCTCCTTCTAATATTAATAGTAATAGTAATAGTAGCCATTTACTAGACAAACATTTATATCTCACAAGAAACTTCAATGGAGATATTATTACTTCTATTTCAGAGATTAAAAATAAAAATAAAAAACCAAAGCTCCAAAAGAGTAATATGTTTTCAAAGGTTACATACCAATGTACAGAGCAAAACTTTAAGTCCAGACCCAATTCTGATGGTCATACTCTGCATTCCTCAGACTTATGAATATCTAATTAATTCTAAGAGGCTCCACACCCCTCATCTCTCCTGGATCCCCAGCCTCTGCTTTGTGTGGCTGCTTCGGGGGGACTCAATGGCATGGGCTGTGTTGGAATCGAGGACAGAAAGTGCCAAGAGTGTTCCTGTGTTCCTCCTCCTCTGAGGAGTCTAGGACACTGCCAGGATCTCTGTGGGTGGGTTGCAGCCTTCTTCTAAGACAGCCATGTTTCATGTTTTTATTGACCCTGTGAGTCAGGTCCTGAGTGACCAAGGGGACTATTGCACTGGGAGGTCTAGTGTGGAAAATCACAAGGACTCAGCCAGCAATTATAAATCACGATGAATGCTCAGTTCTCTGCTGCTGACCTCAAGGAGCAGCAAGCCTGAGCCTGGTACTGTCATTTAAAAATGAGTGCTATGAAAATTTGGAATTGATAACATAAAGGATGCATACTGGCCCCAGTTTTGCATAAGGTAAGGGTTGGTGGGCAGAAGTAAAGAGGTGGTAAGACCAGGGAGAAACAGAAGTACCTATTGCCCTGTTACTTGAGTTATTTCTAATGTTGTGTCATAATAAATACTATAGTGAACATACCTTTATTCAGGTGTGAATATGTTTTAGGGCTCTTGATAGGTGTCTCAGCTGTATTTGTAGTGCTTTCTTCCTCTTTCATTCTCTCTTGACATTCTCTCTCTACTGCTTACATATTCGTATGTAATATTTTGTCATGTTTTTCTGTACTTTATACAGTGGACCATGTGTCAACTTATTTGACATTTACACAAACACACAGACCCTCAGGGGAGTTTATGTTCCAGTTTGATGGGGATGAGATGTTCTACGTGGACCAGGACAAGAGGGAGACAATCTGGAGTCTGGAGGAGTTTGGCCGCGTCTATTCCTATGAGGTTCAAGGCGGGCTGCAGAACCTTGCTGTAGCAAAAGGAAACCTGAATACCCTGATGCAGTGTTCCAACCACACCCAGGCCTCCAATGGTACTGCCCATCTTTGCTTCTTCTCTTGTCCAGCTGGGAAGGGATGAGAGGGCCCTTCCCCTCTCCCAGAGTAGGAGAGTCAGATGCCCACTGTAGAGTCTCCTCTTCCCCTGAGAGCCCTCGGGCTTATTCCACGACAGCTGAGGGGTTGTATCATCCCTTCTTGCCCAAGAGGGAGGTTGAGCAGGGAGAGGTTGATCAGTATGAGTCTGAGCCCAAGGTAGATGGGGCCCCAAAGGTGGAGCTTCTGTGATTTGTCCCAGAACCGTGGACTCACCAGATCTTGTCTTCTCCCAGAGCCTCCTGAGGTGACTGTGTTTCCAAAGAAGTCCGTGGAGCTGGGCCAGCCCAACACCCTCATCTGCCACGTGGACAAGTTTTTCCCTCCGGTGCTCAATGTGACGTGGCTGCGCAATGGACAGCCGGTCACTGACGGTGTCACCGAGGGT